TGGGACCAAGTAAGCCTTGTTGGCATCTGAATTGACGGGCCAAGAATTGAGGCTGGTAGCTGAATTATAAAAAACTTCGGGACCCTTTTTATCAATTTTCTTACTAGCGAATAAAGACCTGGGCTTAAGAGCAACATCCCAGGAGAAAGAGTAGGTCGGATGTGGAAGTGGGTCTGGTCCAGACAAAGGTGACGGAACAGGGAATGGCCAGAACAGGCCGGATGCATAACCAATATACCTTTTATGTATGTAGAAATGGGTATCATTTCGATTATCAGTGAGATGGCAGTTATGATCGGATCAAACGCTTGGAGGTTATTACAACCTAAGCAAAGTCGGTTAAGGCCTACTCCTAGAGACTTCTCAAGTGTAGGGGCAATGGGAGGATGACCGAGTTGAAAAGCGTCGGGAAAATAGAGACGGAACCAAAGTTCTAAAAACCAAAAGGGGCCTGATGCAGTAGTGTCTAATTTTTTACCATCTTTTTCTGTAATATGGGTGCTAACCCTGGATAGCCCTTCAAAAAGATTGGCAAGAAAAAGGGTGCCTAATGAAAAGAAACGACCCGAAGCTATGTGTATAGCAAGATCAAGGTGAGAAGGGATGACACATTTCAAAGGGGAAACTACAATATACTTACAGAGCCAAAAGAGTAGGAAGGTTGTGTGTTCTTGGTCGGTTACAGGGGTCCCGTCTGCTCCTTGCTGGTCGATTAGAAATTTAGTCCAGCCCCATTTTTTCACGTCCGTCAGAGACCAGCCCATATGGTCTGCATTGGGCTCTTGCCCATCTAAGGCACCCATTACAAGGTCTTCTCCTACAATGGGTAGATGAGCGATCATGGCCACGTCCATGAGTGTGGGGCCCATAGGGGCTGTTGGAAGAAGGAAGGTGCAAATCTCAGGGTGCCAAAACACCGCCATTGCTAGAAGGACTTTCTCATGTAAATGACATGGGAGAGTAGACAGACGTATAGCTTGATCGATCTGTTGACTTTTCCATTGATCCTGGAAATGCTCTGCCACTCTTTGGTACCAGGCGCGGTATGGATCCTTGGGGTCCGTCAAATGAGTTTTGATGTTGTCATGGAGGCGGACCGCATTGTAGTTAGGATTGTTGACAGCTAGTAGGTTTCGGGCTTCCAAGACTTCCCTCATTCGTTTGGAGTCTTCAGCAGTTGTGCAATATGGACGAACAGTTGGAGTGCGCGTTTTCGTCGACACAAGAGTGGTTTCAGGGGTTGATCCGTCGACGGGGAGTGCAGGGATGTATCAATTCGCCATGGTTTAGAGTTGTAGAGATTATGATTCACAAAGGCTAGTATTGAAGAAAGGAGAGTTTCGTGGAATCAGGTATGTTGCAGTAACTGATGCAGTTGCAGAGGTGATTTCTCAGTAGGGTTGTGGTTTATGAACTTTCAAACGGCGATTGAGCAATGGCGTTTGAAATTCCCTTGGCAGCGGGCAAGTTGTTAAGAATGAAATTTAGAATTAGGTTAAAAAGCCCAAGGGAAAAAGAAACATGGGCCTAACAATCGAGATGATCGAGCTGGTCGAGGGGCATTGCGGGGAACTCAGGTAAAATAGATGCATTTCTAAGGAAATAGCGGGTCGGGAGGTCCGCAGGTCGGAAGGTCCGCAGGTCGGAAGGTCTGCAGGTCGGAAAGTCTGCAAGTCGGAAAGTCCGTGGGTCGAAAGGTCCTCAAGTCGGGAGGTCTGCAGGTCGGAAGGTCCATAGTTCGGAAAGTCCGCGGGTCGGAAAGTCCGCAGGTCAGAGGGTCCGCGGGTCGGAAAATCCGCAAGTCGGAAGGTCCATGGGTCGGAAGGTCCTCAGGTCGGGAGGTCTGCAGGTCGGAAGATCCGTAGTTCGGAAAGTCTGCGGGTTGGAAAGTCCGCAGGTCGGAGGGTCTGCGGGTCGGAAAGTCCGCAAGTTGGAAGGTCCGTGGGTCGGAAGGTCCTCAGGTCGGGAGGTCTGCAAGTCGGGAGGTTTGCGGCTGGACCAAACAAGTCGGATGGTTGTAAGTCGGGAGGTTTGCGGCTGAACCAAACAATTCAGACCAATAAGACGGAAGATTTGCGGTCGGACCAAAAGGGCGGAAGGTCTGCGATCGGTCCAAAGAGTTGGATATTGTTGAGAGTAAATAAGATTGATAATTTCGGTCGGCTGAGAGCACGTGTCAGCAGGAGAGGGATTAGCAGACGGTTGAAAAGAAGCGTTATAACCGTTCGGGCGACGGTTTCCAATACCATTTCTGAAGAGTATTTAAGGCTTAAAATTTTCAACTGGCAATTGATCTTCAATTATCTACAAACGACATCAAAGTCAAGAGATTCAAAGATCACCACTTCAATTTCCAGTCTTTTATTTTTCAGTTAATTTTCTTATGTACCGGACAGAGATTCCTAATCTCAAGGCACTAATTAATCAAATTTAAGAATATTTCCATATCTTTAAATTTTACTTTTTGTTTATTGAAAAAAATATATCAACAATAATTATATTATTATTATTATTATTATTATTATTACAATCGTTATCATCTTTATTCATTATCAATCATCTTTATTATCATGTACTATTATTAGTATATTATTAAATTATTATTACATCTATATTATATTTTTATATTTATTATTGTCTATATTTATTTTTTAACAATTTTCTTTTTAAGTATAATCGATATATAAAATAAAAATATAATTTATTTTTAAATATTAATTTTTTAATCCTATTAATATTATTAAAATATTTATTTTATATATTCTAAAATTGGACTATTATATTATGATTACGAAATATTTAAAATCTTATATAATCATTAAAGTTCCACCACTTATACATTCAAATTCATCCAGTTTTTTTTCTTTTTATTATTATTATTATTATTATTATTATTATGTGAGAATCCGCAATCGCTACTCAAAAATACGTACGGAAAAGAAAAAAAAGATTATCCAATTAAACAAGAGCTTTGAGCTGTAAATATATACGGGCTTAGATAGGATTTCATTTTGTGCGAAAATTATTTGGGATGAATATCCTGATCATATTGGGTCGGGTCAGTTCAGTTCGGGACTGAAATTCTTATTCCTCCATATATATATATATACATATATGGCGGCAGTTACGATGATTATGATATTGATAGCATATTAATATATACTAGATAACACATTAAATGTAGATATACAATATACATATAAAATAGAGTTAACAATACATTAATATTTTATACAACATATATTGTCTCTTATATTTTTATATGTTATTTATAGTATTTTTAACTAGTTGATTGACAATGAGTATGATACTGATAAATTTCCAATAAACACTCTTAACTGAAGCATTATATATATACATCAAATAATTATAGTAGTGATTTGATTCAGTTAGTATATATATATATATATATATTGATTTAGTTAAGTAAATATATAAATATATATATATTATATATATAGGAGATATAGCATATTCGTAAAAAAACACATTATAATGTAAAATAAAATACATATTATCGTAACAATAATATAATTCCACTTATCACAATATCTTATTAATTTCAGTATGCAGGACAATACCAGATATAAATTGAATAACACATACTTTAATATAATATAATTATACATTACTATTATGCTATATAATTAAATCAAGATGATATTTGATTTAACCCAATCCTAATATAACTATATATTATGCTATATAATTAAATCAAGATGATATTTAATTTAAATCCCAATCCTAATCATATTAATCATATTAATTAATAGCACAATACACTTTAATTCGTGTTCTCTCAAAATTTTGGATTTTATTTTTATTTTTCAAATAATAAGTTTGGATAATTAGTTAAATTTTGTTAGGATAACAACTAATCTAAAAAAATTCAGATTTATCGAGATAATAAATAACAAAATATGTATAAAATTAGAGTTTTGTATATTCATATATACCTAACAAAAATTATTATGAGATTTTCGTCCAACATTGCGCAGGTTCGAAAAAACAACGATCCCGATCTATCAGAAATTTTCAAAAAGTGTTCGTAATTCTTTGCTTTTTCAAACGTTGGGATTATTGGTTGGATACATGTAGTTCGACCAGAATGACAAAGTTTTTAGGTTTGTTTTTTTTATGTTTATTTTTTTTAAATATGTGGTTTTTGTTGGTTGATTTAATGATGATTGAGCATGTTTATATATATTCTTAAAAACTCTTATATTTTATTTCATTATTGTAAATTTTCTACTTTTAGTTTGGACTACGCGTGATTTTTTATTTTTATTTTTATTTCTTTTACCTTTTTAAGGATTTTCACGTGATTTTTTTTTTTTTTTGTATTTTATTTACGCATATAATTTGTTATTGTTCAAAGAAAGTGAATCATTTTCCACATAAAAAAATATCATTATCTCTTTTATATATTATTTATACATATAATATTTTATCATTTGTTGTATAGTGAGAAAGAAGAAAAGAATGAGAAGAAAAATAAATAGAAGAGAAAGAAGAGAAGTAGAAAGAAAAAAAAAATCAGGTATAGTATTTTTTGTCTTTTTATTTATTTATTTTATTTTATTATGTATAATACTAATTTATTTAGTTTCGAGTATAATGTTTTAGTACTTCATTATTACTGTATATGCATTTTTTAAAATTATCCATTGTGTTATCATATTTTCTACTAATTATTTTTTTTATCTCTATTATGTTTGAGTTTAAATTATAACAGCATATTTATGAAATTTTGATTCGCTTACTTATTATTTTTTATTTGATTTAATTACTATATTTTCCATTTATATATTATTTTTTATATAAATTAATTTTTGACTATTTTTATACAAAATTTTATTATTAAAACAAAATTTATTATTTAAAATATAAAAATTAAATTAATATCATAAATTCTATAATTACGGGTGCTATGCACGGGTAATAGGCTTGTATAACTATATATTATACTATATAGCCTATATATAGCACCTAAAGTAAGCTATTGGTCCCATTGATGGTTATTAGTCATTTGTGATCTCTCTCTCTCTTTCTCTCTCTCTCTCTCTACATCTCCGATTGTTCAATGGCTTCGGCACTCACAAAAAGGTCAACCAAACTCTTTCCCTATCCTTTTATTTTGTTTCGTTTATATTGGTCTGTTCTTTTCTCTTTTGCAATAATTAGAAGTGGACCAACCACGATTTTCCTGATTTCGATTCTTTTCATTGAATTACTTACTTATAGACTTAATTAAATTTATTTTATGATTTTAAAAAAATAAAAATTAAGAGTGTGCTTGTTAGGGTGATTCGATTTTAATTTGAATAATAAATTTTATATTTGAATAGTTGTTTGACATAAATTAAATATATATTCATACGATATTTTTGATGTAAAATTGAGCTTTAATATGTTAAATATATATATCTTATTTCATATTTTTCAAGAAAAATATTTTATGAAATGAGGAAAACAAATCAAATCGTCCAAAGAAAGACATCGTAAGTTTATACAATTAATAAACAATCGATTTATGAGTACCTGTGTTTTAGATGAGCAAAAAGTTCGAATCCAACTGTATTGAATTTTAAGTCAACCGAGAGAGCTTGTTCTACATACAAATACTTTGTTGTATTTTGTTTGGTTCTAATAATTTCTAATATTGTTTCTCAATTAACACAATTTTTTTTTATTCAATGGTTTTTTTCATTTAAGATTCATTTTTTGTTTTGCTCAAATGATAATATTTGTTAATATTTTTGGTTAATCCGAATTTAAATTAATATTTAGTGAATATATGTTATTAGATGTAGTTCCGTTAAAAAAAATAATAAAAATTATCAATTGAAAATTCTTATTCGAACACAATTCATTGTTGCATATATATATAATATATATACATTCATTTCAACTTGAATACAAAAGTGTGTTTATTTTATGAAATCGTTTAAATTTATATTTTTTAATGTGAAATTATAAAAAAAAATTGTTTAGATAATATAAAAATAATAAATATATATAATATATTAAATTTTTCGAAAAAATATGTGAAATTATTTAACAAAGAGAACACGTTCCAATGTAAAAGATATATAATAACAATTTTCATATCTTTCCAATGTAAAAATTGTTTTAACAAATTAAGGCATTTTTCTCACCAATGACTTTTATATTCAATTTTTCTTTTTCTTTTTTTTTTCAAAGAAAAAATTAATAAATTTATATTTTTAATAATTATCATAAAAAATAATATATTTGTAATTGAAATTAAGGACAGTTATAGCTAATTACATAAATTTTTATGACGTAATACAATAAACCTATATTGAACGAGCATTTATTTATATTCTTTATTAATTATTCTTTAGATTTTAATCCAAAAATTCCTCCTGCTATCTATTAATTCTAATAATGTCGTATCAAATTTTGTAGAATAATCTTATTTATTTATTTATTTGAAAATGTTTAATTTTGTCTGATGTCATGTGTTGGGTTAGCCTAAAATAATCATATATGTATAATATATGAGTGATTCGATTTAGATCTCTTATTTATAAATGTAAAGAAAATATGCTAATGTCATCATTAGATTTACTCAGGTGGCAGCTGTGAAAAATTAAAAAGTATTATGCAAAATTTCTTTTCATTTGAAATATGAAAATTAAGCAAAATTATGATATAATTAAAAAAAAAATATGTATAATTTTGTAAAATAAAAATATATATTTAACTTTGTGGCCAGTTTGACTTAAATATGTTAAATTAAACTGGATTTTTCTCTCCTAGTTTGACTTATAGTAAAATAAAAATATGTTTAACTTTGTGGCCAATTGTGAATACTGTGATAAAAATTATTTATTTAATTTTAGTTACCCATAATTTTAATTGATTTCAATAGTATTTTTATATATATATATATATATTTTTCATTATTTATACTTATTTGAACTTCGTTTTTTAAAAAAACTTCGCTATTTTTTATTTAAAATATTATATCAAATAATAATATATAAATACAAAACTCAAATTAAATCTCTGTTATAAAGCCAAAGAAACACATGAACTGTTCATCCTACACCATCTCTGAGGCAATTTTTGAAAAATATTAATAAACAATGTTATATATATATGGATACATCCACATAATTTAAATAATATATAATCTATTTTTTGTAAAATTTTAATAATTAATATAAAATATTATTTTTATATTATCAATATAATTATTCATATCTCATATAAAAAAAAAACTTAAATTAAAATACTAAAAAAACACACCTCACTTTTTTTTTTTTTTTTAACGACTACATCCACTTTTTTGCATGTTAAGTTGATGTTTTTTTTTTTTTGTTTTTTCTTTTAAATAGGAAGATTAATTTTAAGTCTTCTCGGCTGGTAAGCATCTTATGTACATGTATATATATCATTCTTAGCAGCCGATTTAGATACGTAAGATTCAGATCGAACAAATGTAATAATACTTTCGTATTTACAAAATACATTCTACCACTTTCCAATTGACTAAACAATAAGATCAAAAAAAAAAAATGAAAAAGCCCATTCAATATTGTTGATTATATTTATACGAAATCATATTGCAGATTGCAAGGAAAAGTTGCGTTGATAACAGGCGGAGCTAGCGGGATAGGAGAATGCACTGCTAAACTATTTTCTAAACATGGCGCCAAAGTAGTAATTGCTGATGTGGCCGATGATTTAGCAGGTTCAGTCGTCGACAGCATTGGCTCGTCCCAATCGATGTTCATCCATTGCGACGTGACCAAAGAGGACCATGTCAGAAACGCCGTGGATGGTGCAATGTCCGAATATGGGAAGTTAGACATAATGTTTAATAATGCCGGCACTTCGGACCCCTTGAAGCCGCGCATCATAGATATTGACAAAAAAGACTTTGAGCGCGTGTTGAGTGTCAACATGACAGGCGTCTTCCTAGGAATGAAGCATGCGGCGCGTGTTATGATCCCGATGCGCCATGGCACAATCATCTCGACTTCTAGCATCGCGTCAGGGTTAGCAGGGGCGACAACACATGCATACACGTGCTCCAAGTACGGGGTCGTGGGACTCACGAAGAACCTCGCGGTAGAGCTTGGGCAATACGGGATTAGAGTAAATTGCATTTCACCTTATGGGGTAGCTACACCTTTGTTGAATCGATACTTGGGGCTTGATAGTGAAGATGTCGAGCAAATGATGGAATCCAAGGCAAATCTTAAAGGCGTGGTCTTGAAAGCCGATGACGTTGCCAATGCTGCTTTATATTTGGCGAGCAACGAAGCAAAATATGTGAGCGGACATAATTTATTCGTTGATGGAGGCTTTAGTAACTATAACTCGGCAATTCAAATGTTCGAGAATCCATAGGAATGATCGTCATATAAGTTATCTTTGTTATGTAAGAGTAACTTATTATGGATAATTGATGAACAATTGAAGTTTTATTTTTCTTCATACTTCTCAATAATAAAATTTTTACTCATCTTTCCAATAAAGGATATTGTTGGAAGACGAACATTGATAAGAAGTCATCTCTTTCAAGTATACCATCATTATTGGAAGACGAACATTGATAAGAGGTCATCTCTTTCAAGTATACCATCAGTATAGTTATGAAACCACAAAGTATAAACACGATTTTTAATACGTGAAAATTCAATTATAATACATCAATATGTCAACGGTGTAACTACAAACAAATTTATAGTGTAATAAACGGCATACAAAGTTTATTGACTTATTTTGGTGTAAATACTTATGTATGGGGAGAGTGCTTCATGAAATACATATTATCAGGTGGTATATGAATACCATCAAATATATAATGTATGAGAACGGCATAGATCAACTACTGATCCGATTAAGTAAGCATGGTGTTGATTTGACTAGATCAATATATTTATAATGCAACATATATTATATTATAACTTAACATATGTTATCTTATAACACAACATATGTTGAGATATGTTTGAACATATGTTGATCACTTATTTGGCATATGCTGACCTGGTCAAATCAGAACCATGTTGATTTGGCCGGATCAGCACAAAATTTGAAGCCGTATGAAAAACTGATTGTCAAAACCTAATAATGACAACTACAAAGTAACCGCACAATCCATAACACCCTAACCCACCGGATTCCATCAGAATTATGAATTTAATTGTATTTCATTGAGAATAATATTAGGATGAGTTACCTTTTGGGAAGTCCTCGTGTTGTGCAAAAAAAAATCACAAAGTAACTGTTTGTTTGAGATTAAATTTATTTACATGCTAATCATCTCAATCACTTGCACAATCTCCGTTTTAAGTTTACTTCCAACCATCCTTAAAGTTGAATATTGTGGTAAGCACATGAATAATAATGCCAAGTTGTTCGAGAGCACACGAGAAAAATTAACTCTAGAATTCCATCTAAAAGTAGACAACTCCATACCATGCTGAGTTTTTTCCATTAATCTCTTGTAGAAAATTAAAAATATCTTTAATAATTTTGGATTTTCCATTCTTTTCCAAACATGTCTGTAAACACATTGACCAAGGAATATGTTATCGCTCAAAATATTTTCCGATAGCTCGAAAGATAGAGCCGGTCAAAAATTACTTGGGTTCTCCGGATTCCATACAAGAGGATCCAGAACTATATTAATTTAATCAGATAGAGATCGGACAAATTGAATAGATATGCTAGGAAAATTCTGTCGACAAATATAATTGAAATTGTTGAATATGACGTGTGATTGAAACAAAAATGAGATGAATAACTATACTAGCTGATTCAGTGAAGACATTTGAATGTAAAATCACAAGAAAAAAGGATAATCAAATATATAAATCATAAGAAAATTTTTATGAAATAAAACGGGACCAAAATCAATAAAGTAATGAAACATAATTCTGAAAATGGGGAAATTTAAGAAATGTAAAAAGAAAACTAAGACATCATGAATTCTTGAAATTGATTAACCTAACTGTTTGTTGCCTTGACGGCGTTTTATATGTGTTGAAATTATGGAGTAAGCAACATATTTCCAAGAAATCAAGAAATTATTCCCACTTTTGCTCAACTACTTAGTCAACTTCGCTTTTATTACTCTAAAAATCTCTCCAACCCTAATTGCATTTTCAAAAAAACCACGTAAGATGTAGCTACTCTCTACCATTTCTCTCGGCTCTTTTGCAGTCAATTCGAATGGTTCAATTTTGATTCAGCCCCATTTGGGTCTCCATCTGGGCAGTTATTGACTTGGGCTTTCAGTTGAACTTGCACGCATGGGCCGCACAATGACCTGTCGCGCGGTCAATCAAATATTTCATCTATTCCGTGATCACAATTTAATATAATACAGGGGAAGGGATCGTTTACACAGAGATTGTGTAATTCACTCTTTCGCGTTCTAATGCAGTAAATAAAAAAAGGTGGAATTTTCTTTTATTATCTAATGAAGATAAAAATAACAAAACAATTATATTAACGGCGAACTAGCTATTAAGAGGCTGTCTGGCTCAAGGAATGATGCAGTTATGACACTTGTGTTTTATCATTGATTCAATAGAGTTAGTTCTTATTTAAAGTATCAATAAATTGGGTATAGTTATCAATAAGCTCTGACAACCAATTTTTCCTGACAGTGTAGATAGTTAAGGTACGACTGTTAACTATCTATAATTAAGTTAATAAACCTAGGTATGTCCATACGAAATATTGCCTAATCGTATTCTAATCTAGAGAAATCCAATTCAAAACAGTTACTACCTAATAGAGGCAGTTAGATTTGATTGTCTAACCCCCGGGAAGGGACTATTCAATCCGGTTGTCACCTATTCAAGTGCAAATACAATTACAAATATCCTACCTGAATTGACTTTAGATTATCAGACTAATATAAATATCGGTACCAAAATATTCAATAAATCTAAAAATCACAAACGTTATTATCAGAATTAGACAAATATTGATAATCAAAACGAACTTTTATAAAGAAAATTAAGAATCTCCAAAACACAAAAACCAAAACATTATCATCCCTCACACCAAAAATGTAGCTACTCCATAATTAAATAGGAAAGAAAAAAAAAAAGAAAAGATAAAGTCATAGTGGAATGGGAAATCTTCTCTGTCAATTTGTTCCTGTGCGATCTATGAGTTGTCAATCTCCTAATCCCGTGCATATCTTCTTTCTGGCCGTTCTCTGCGTGTATTATTCCCGTCGTCTTCTACTTTCTTTTTCTTTTAATTTTGCCCTTTTTTTTTAGCAGTTGGGCTTTTGGTCCTTTAATTAACTTCTCATGTCAAGATGGTGGAGTTAATCATAGCCATGACTAACTCAGGGGTGCAAATCTGAAATTTTCTTCGTTTCATCTTCAAATCACGCCAAATTTTCTATTTCTCTCCTACATGTTGGAAATAAACAATATGCACCGAAATTAGGTAGAATCCAATCAAAATCAAAATCAATCATGTCGCATATAACATAAACATTTAACGCATGCGATTTCTAACTATCAAATATCTACACACCTAGATCATGCTTGCCCTCAAGTATAGAATCGAAATAAGTCAAATAAATATCAAGCGACTCAATATGACAAGAGAATCCAACACAACCATTTCAATTCAAAATTCAACACGTCAAGCCAAATCGACCTCACAAGATAAAGTGTATATGCACATGCTCTCTGAAGGAATAAGTGTATAATTGGTTCAGCACTCAGGTAGTGCAATAAAAGATTATCCTATAGGCTTGAGCAAGAATCAAATCTCCCTTGCTTAAAATATTTGAATCTAACATAAATAATCAAAAGGACTTTGAATAAGGGTTGTAGCAGGGCTTATGGTTAGAGGCTAGAAAATGGTATACAAAGGCTAAAATATGTAAGAAAAGAACACAATAAGAACATGATGCTAGTACATGAAAAACAAATCGACATAAACGATGAGATCCTACTTTATTCACTACCCAAACTTTAATAATGAAATTAAATAAAAATATTTCATCAAGATGATTATTTATTTATTTTTATTATTTATTTATTTATTTATTTTTTATTTTTTTTGGCTTATTTTTTTCCTTTTTTTTTGTTTTTTTTTTTTGGCTTTTCCCTTTATATATATATACCTTCACTACTCATAATCATTCGTTCATACAATGACTTATTCGCACCCAAATTTCATCTCTAACTAATGCCGAAGAAATAAAGTGCATCACGACATGAACTTAAAGTAATTCTCTCTAACATAGGGTTCAAATCGGAGAAGGGTCAATCAAAAGAAGGGTATGAGGCTAAAAGAAAGCGGTTTATCATAAAAGAAAAAAACAGGCAAAGAAAACTCAAATGGGCTAACTAGGTGAATATATTGTGCTGGGTAATAAAGAAAGACTTAATGGGGTTACCTAATACCCTTATCATTTTCAAAACGCAAGACTCGATAATTGCAAGTTCAACATGCATAATCACTCAAATTCTAGATCATCTAATTGAGCACTGCAAATCACACATGAAAGAAATTTCCAAAACCTTGAATATATGCAATTTATTTTCTAATACAACTTTTGGAACATAGCTCAAATCTCAGAGGGTTTAAACGTCGACTTGACTCAACATATCACAAATCAAATGTCATTAGTCATGCTAGACAAACCTATCACACAAATCACAATTGACTCACTTCAGACTAATCTAAAAAATATGCAAAAGGACAGCAAATCAGGCATAAAAGGTAGCAAAAAAAATAATATTTATGCCCAAAATTTTGCATAACTCTCCCCACACCTAAGGTATGTATTGTCCCCAATGTAAAGAAAAAAAATTAAAATAGAAGAAAGTAATGCTTCCCTGGGTTGAGGAGCTGATGTCAACCGGTGCGGGAAATGAGTGACTTCATCATTAGTTTTAGCTTGGAGAGGGTTGTAGTCACTTCAGTGCGAAATGCGGAATTCTCAGCTCGGAGGGCTGAAAGTTCAGTTTGTTGGTTATAGCTGGTGCAACTGCTTCAACCGATTAACCGCCGTCAACCGCCTAACTGCTTAGTGGTTCCATTTTCCGCTCAACTGCTTGCAACTGTCGATTTCTCAGATCTATAAATAGGGTCAGATTACATTTGTAAACCACGACTGATATAGTACATACAAGTGTAAATTTCATTTCTGCAGATTTTTAGTGTTTTATGAGAGCTCCAACTTTGTAAGAGAGTTCTCTATATCGGAATGGCCAGAAGAGTTGAGATCTTCTCCTCATCTGCCGCTCACCTTACTGCTTTTATTAACAACTTTGTTACGGATTTGTAATGTACATATTTACAGCTTTCTTTAGTTTAATGATGTATCATAATTTCTCCATACTCACTTTTGCCACCGCTCCATACTTGTGTCTTGAATGATAAACTTCAAATTTTGATTTGTTGAGAAAGAACATAGAAGAATCAATTATCTAATCCTAGACTTATGCCGTATTCATTAAGAGAATTTAGGTAGTTCAATGTAGTTAAGTACGCGGGAGCCTTGTCAACCTGCTTAGTTACTCTTTCGAATTCGATTTTGATTAAAGAGAAGTAACATAAGGGTAAAGCCACTAATGAGACATAAATTAGGATAATTAATGGGGTGTAGACGCTTGTCTAATGGGTCACAGAAATGTCCAGTGACAATACTATTTCTTACTTATAATGTTATGATTCTGGACATCATTGAAGTCTTGTTGTAAATTTCTTAAGGTCAAGTACCAGCGATTTCAGTTTCTGTGTTAATCACTTTGTGCATTACATTCACTTCTTCTATCACTACGTGTTATAAATATATATTTCGCTTACTCACTATCGTCGTTCGCTTATTACATCCATGAATTTCTAGCCATTTAGGAACGCACAGATCACACACAATGTTACCTGATCCCCTTTACCGCTCGCCTATCCTCAATCTTATATCTATAGTTCGCCCACCATACTCTCGCTCGTTCTCACTCATCTCCGCTCTCGCGGCATCCACTTCTCGCTCACCATCCCCATTACAATTCCCACAAACCACTCAAGTTTACTCGTTTTGTTTTAATTCTGTCTTAGTTAACTCTCGGGCTTGCTCGTAAGCGAGCCAACCCTTACTACTTTTCCGTTGCGCTTTACTCGTATAAATTTTTTTGATTTAATTTCGCGACTTAAAATCCTTATGTTCGATCTGAAAACTTACTAGTAAAAAGAGTATAAATGATTGTGATAATGCGATTCAGGGTCTACAACTTCATTTCTTTTATCTATATCTGACCATACGAAATAATGCACATTTCACTCAATAAACTCATAATAAATTCCCTGTTTTAAACCAAATTTTTCGCTTATCAGATACTTATGTAAAAGATCTCCCATTTCATTCTAAAAAAAAAACCAACCAACAACTGTCTCTTGTTCCTCTACTGCTCTCTCTCTTATAGCATTTCCGGCATGTTTTTTGGCCATATTCTGGCAAGCCTTTGTAGCCGTCCGGAAAAACTATGTTTCATCATCATTCTTGTTCGACAAAGCTTTGACTTATTGAGGTGTCATCTAAGTCGGACACAGAAGCTGATTTACCTTTGGGACAAAACGTCATCACCAGAGGCACTCCTAGGATGTAAGTTGTCTTGCGGGTAGGGAGTATCCTCGACTCGACTTCATTTATAGCTTACATCAATTTACTCGATTGTTGATTATTTCATTAATTATTATTATTTAATTTATTATCTTGCATTACAATATTATTATTATTTCTTCCAACATAACTTCATATACGTATATTGTTTGGGACATGTATGTATAAATGGAAAAATGCACAAATTTGGGCGGTAGGGAATCATAATTGAGACAGAAATTATGGTCTCAAGCTGAAACACGGTGAACATCAATGTCCAGTCGTAAATTTTGTCACCAAATTTAGCAACAAAATTGCCGACAAAATATGTCCGTCACAAATTACCAGGACCAAGCCTCTAGTCGTCATCCGTCGTTATGTTCGGCGGTGAAAAATTTGTGTTGTATCTTGTGACGAGTACTATTCTATCCATCTGTCTGTAAATTTAATTATGGATGAAAAAAAGGGTTAGTGATGAAAAAATTCCGCTGCAAATGTAAGTACCTCCAGAAGGTGAAATGACTTGCCTTCCTTGTGAGGGTGAGCTGATGGAAATGATTGATTAGGAATTACTTCAAGAAAATAGAGTGTCAAATCGAAGCTAAGCACATTTTTGTGGGGACATGTTGGATTATGAATAAAAATGGGTATGTGTCAGTTTGATCCAAAATGAATACCTGAAGAGCCCAACCAAAGAGAGAAGAAGGAGGAAAATGTAAGAAATTTCTGGATAAATGAGGTTAAGCAATATTGGGAGCTACGTTATTTTGAATAATATAATGAAGTGTATTAACGAAGGATAATATAATTAAAAGACAGAAATGTAACGTAACATGGCCTGCCCGCCCTTGGATCGCAGTCCGTCAAGATTCTTTTTTATCATTAAATACATATGTAGTATATAATAATCCACCCACTGTCTGTCTGTGTGTGTGTGGAAAGGCAGAAGATATTAAACAAGAAGAAGGAGAAGATCTGAATATATGCTTAAACAGCTAATTCCATGGCAGCTGCTTCGTCTTCACTTGCTTCTGCACTTAAAAGGTAAATCTAATTATTCATTCCTTTACAAACTAGTTCTAGTTGTTCTCATCTAATAACCCTCCCATCCCTATTATCACTCTAATTATTCATTCCTTCATTTGCTTTAAGATCCATCTTTATTATCGAAAGTTTTGTTGTTTCTCTCAGCATCATCATCTTCATATCATCAATTATCCACTTGTTTACTACGGATTAATTAATTAAGAAAATATGTTTATATATAAAGAGCTAGAAAAAAAAAAAACGCATTATTTGATCGATTTGCATTTCAAGTTTTTATAATTTAATTTTTATTAAAATACTTATTAACTTGAGTAATCATATTTACAACTTTTTTAAAATTCAAAATGCAACATAATTCAAACAAAGACTTTGAAGTTTTAATTTTAATTTTGATTCAAATAGTATTTTGATATAATTTTGTATATAAAAAAAGTATCTATTTTATCGAAAAACATAAAAGATATTGAATAAACTTGAAATTAGTTTGAAATCTTAACCAAATCTGGTTCAACGCTCCTTGCAAAAATCAAGTAGCTAGGCAATGCATAGGGAGAAATACTATTAAATCCTCTCATATTTCTCGTTTTAGAAGATGCAATTATTTATTACTCCATTTGTCCACAATATTTAGCCTATTTTGATACCGCACAGACATTTAGAAAAATAAATAATTTACTAAAATAGTAGAAAAAGTAAAAATATAGTTAGTATATTTTGAAAATTTAGTTAATAATTAAATAGAAAGAAAGAGGAAAGGTAATAAAGCCACTGGTATTTATTTTAGATAACTGTTTAATAAAGGGTAATAAGTAAATATTAATTTTTTGACTTTTTCAAATATAGTAATAGAGTAAATTTAAAGGATAGACTAAGAAAATGAGAATAATTTTGAGGTACTAACTGAGTATTTTTTTATGTATTTTTTATATTTAAATTTAAAATTGTAATTCATATTTACTGTAAATTATTATATAATTGTTTATATGTATAATTTTGTATTGATATTTATAGCTAATTGATTGTAATTATTATAAAATAAAAATGTTTATTTTTTAGAGTCAATTTTGAATTTGAATATTGAATAGTAAAATATAAACTAATTATTTAATGTGATGTAAATAGATGTTGATAAAATACTATACAAAATTAATTTTTTTATATTATAAAAAATAAAAATACTATACTGATTTGATATATTTTATGGAAATTTTTTAATAAATAATAAAAAATATAAAAAAACTCGAACAAAAAAATTGATAATAATTATATGTAATTGTTATAAATTTGATATCAAGAATTATTTTGTTAAAAAATACTTCAAATTATTTTAAATAGTTTCTATAATCATACAACAAAAACTAAATAATATATTTGAATCTCTGCTATAGTATTTAATTTAGTAATATAGTAATACAGAATACTATTGTGAAATAAATATATAAAAATAGTAAAATGTTATTCGTTACTTATAAACTAATAAATTATATAAAATAAAATACATATGAAAACGAAAAAAAAAATAAAACAATTGACTCTACAGATCTAGAAGATTAGATTAAAATGAATTATGTAGTGATGATTTTGTAAAAATAATGAATTTTACTATAACTTTTTTAAAAATAAAATGTAGTATCATTGAAGATGTTCTATCACTCCCTCTTCCTATCTCTCTCTCTATATACATAGACTTCAAGGAAAAGTAGCTCTTATAACCGGAGGAGCTTGCGGGATAGGAGAATACTCAGCTAAACTCTTTGCCAAACATGGAGCTAAAGTTGTAATAGCAGACATCCAAGATGATCTTGCCCATTCAGTCGTCACTGCCATCGGCCACTCCGATTCGACATTCATCCATTGCGACGTATCTAATGAGGACCACATCAAGAATGCAGTGGATACAGCAATTTCCAAATATGGAAAGCTAGACATAATGTTCAACAATGCCGCCATTGGCAATCCCGAGCCCCGGATAATTGACAACGACAAAGCAGACTTCGAGCGTGTCATGAGAGTTAATGTCACAGGTGTCTTCCTAGGGATGAAGCACGCAGCCCGCGTGATGATCCCGACACGTAGTGGTTCCATCATTACTACTGCCAGCGCCGTATCGCGTGTTGCGGGTGCTTCCACACATGCATACACGTGCTCAAAACACGGGGTTGTGGGGCTTACAAAAAATGTCGCAATTGAGCTCGGAGAATTCGGAATTAGGGTGAATTGTATATCGCCGTTTGGAGTTGCTACGCCGTCGGTGATGAAATATATGAGGATTGACAATAAACAAGCCTTAGAGGAGTTTTTTAGCTCCAAAGGAAATCTCAAAGGGGCGATTTTGAATGAAGAAGATGTAGCCAATGCTGCACTATTTTTGGCGAGTGACGAAGCTAAGTATATAAGTGGAGAAAATTTATTTATTGATGGGGGTTTTACCAATTGCAATGCTTCAATGCAAATTTTCGAACACGGGGAGTTTTGATATTATTTTTTGTTTTTCTATTTTATAAACTCAAAGGTACATATAGTTGCATTTGTAATTTCTTTCGTCTCTCTTCATTTTATGAATATTGCATGCATATTTGATCAAGTTAAGGTTTTATTTTAGTTGAATATCACACTAGAGCTAGGTTTTATTTTAGTTGAATATCACACTAGAGCTTGTTAGAGCTTTCTATAAACATCAAAATACGGGTTTTTTCAAATTGATTCAACTCATCTTTGTTAACAAGCTACTCCTCTTGGGCCGCACAGGTGATGGGCTTGGCCCAAATTTCTGGATCTGATCCATATATATATATATATATATATATCTTTAATACATACACACACTTTCACTCTCACTTCACATCTTCCTCGTTGTGCCCTAGTACGAATCCATATTCACTTCTCTCCCATACACTTTCGCCTCTCACACACAGTGCACTATTCACCATCATCTTCGACTTCATTCATTCACTCGCATCCACACACAGTGCACAACGAACTACTTCATCTTCATAACTCACTCTTCCATACGCTTTTCGTTCACTTGTGCACTTTTACACACGGTTATTTGAATCGCTTCACTACGCCTCATCTCATTCACACTAGAATCGATCTCCATATCGATTTGCTCTTCATTTGTCTTGCTTGACTACTCTCACATTGTTTTTGCTAGTTTTCTATCACTTCGTCTCTCTCCGCATGTTGTTGGTTCAATTTGGAATGGCTTAAGGCTGTGTGATTCTGGTGAACGAGAATAAAAGGAAAGCACCAAAGAGGCAATCGATACTACTGGATTGCTATATATATTGGTTGTATTGTTAAACCTTCAGTTTGTTCTTCTCTCTTATTCAACTGTTAAGGTTTGTAAGTGTTCCGGTGTGAACACGGTGCTTTCCTCAACTGTTGATTCATGTGTTTATTGTTATGACTTTGATCCTTTGAGATCGTGGCGTACATTTTCTATTGAACGCCTTTTTCTATTCACCAGACTTTTACTCTATAAATGAGATTTGAGATTTGGAGTATAGGTGTTCCTAACTCCTCATAATAAAAGTGTTTGTTTCTCATTTTTTAGTTTGTTATCATGGTATCAAAGCAAGGTTAACTTCTATTATATCTCTCTGTGTTTGCAGGCATTACTGTGTTACTACTTGAAGTTAGAAGAAGAATCAGTAAGTTGCTCTTTTTTGTTTGTTCTCGATGGGTGAACCCAACAGACTTACATCTGGTACGTCTAATAACCTTCCGCTGGTTATTACTAATCACTATGATCCAATGTATGTTCATCCTTCAGACTATGCAAATGCTTCTTTAATCTCATGTGTGCTTACTGGTTGTGAAAATTTTGTGATTTGGAACAAAGCTATGACAATTGCTCTAAAAAGTAAGAATAAACTTAAGTTTGTCGAAGGCAAGGTTCCTATGCCTTCAGATCCTGAGTTAGCTGAAAAATGGAGTATGTGTAATGCTCTAATCATGTCCTGGTTATTAAATTCTGTTGATAAATCAATCTATAGAACTCTTGTTTTTTATGAGACAACTTCTGAAATGTGGAATGACATCAAGAATACCTATGAAAGTAGTAGTGGAGCTAGTATATATGCAGTTTTGAAAGAAATTGCTAATTGCAAACAAGGAAATGACAATGTAAACACATATTACACCAATCTGAAACAGTTGTGGGATCATGCAGCATCTATTAAGGATGTAGAGCGTTGTGTGTATAGTGCTAAAGCTTATTTTGATAGGTATGAGCAAACTCAACATTTAGTTCAGTTTCTCATGGGACTAAGTGATAGATTCTTTGTCGTTAGAAGCACAATACTTGCTATGAGTCCACCTCCATCAGTCAAAGAAGCTTTTAATATAGTAAGTCAAGAGGAGTCTCACAAAAAAATCTGTGGTGATACTATTTTGTCTAAAAACACTGGTCCATTCATTGCAAAAAGATCAATAAAATCTAATGCAAAGAATCCAAACCTCAAATGCTCACATTGTGGAAGAACTGGTCACTTGATTGAAAGATGCTATCAGCTTATTGGCTATCCAGATAAGAAACAAGGCTTTAAGATTAACAAATCTGCCACTGCATCTGTCAACAGTTCATCTGTTGAAAATGTGGATGGTGATACTTGCTTAACCTCTACAAAATTGTCTCTAACTTTTGATGTTTGTGATGAATTAATCAGGCTTTTGGAAGAAAAAAAGGGGACTGATTCTCCTCGGTTCAACATGGTTGAACTGGTGGTTGGATTGTTGACTCTGGTGCAACAGATCATATGGTATCAAATAGAGGTCTTCTTTTTTATGTTGAACTTGTTAAAAATGGACCTATACATGTCGTCTTACCTACTGGTAAGACTATTTCTGTAGCTGAGTCAGGTAAGGTGCACTTGAGTGAAAGGATTACTCTAGAGAATGTGTTGGTTGTTCCTGAGTTTACTTTAAACCTTCTTTCTGTCAGCAGACTTACCTCCATATGAGATATGACTGTGAATTTTTTAAAACATGCTTGTGTAATCCAAAATACTGTGGATGGTAGTGTTCTAGGTTATGCTAAGATGTCTGGGGGGTTGTATAGGTTTGACAGTCCTCACTTTCATTCTGAATTGTTCTGCTCTAATGTTGGAGCAAGTGACAATCATGCTTGTGGCATTCCCGTCTAGGACATTCTTCAGTTGAAGTGTCAAATCTTCTTAGATCTGAACTTGGTCTGTCAAGTGTTCCTGGCTTCATTTGTGATGTTTGTCATAGAGCAAAACAGACCAGAACTCCATTTCCTCTTAGTACTCACAAATCAAAAGCTATGTTTGAGCTTATCCATGGTGATGTATGGGGACCCTATCATGTTGAAACCAGAAATGGTTTCAAACGCTTCCTTACCCTTGTTGATGATTTCTCGCGTGCTACTTGGGTTTTCATGTTAAAAAGTAAATCTGAAGTGTTTACTTGCTTGAAGGAATTCTTTGTGTTAATAAAAAATCAGTTTGATAAAACAGTAAAAATCTTTAGATCTGATAATGGAACTGAATTTGTGAATTCCTATGTTACTGATATCTTTAAAAGATCTGGGATAGTTCATCAAACATCTTTTGTTTATAGTCCTCAACAAAATGGAGTTGTTGAGCGTAAACATAGGCATATTCTTAACGTTGCTAGCGCCCTCATGTTTCAAAGCAATTGTCCTCCCAACTTCTGGGGGGACAACGTGCTTGCTGCTGTGCATATAATAAATAGGCTTCCCACCCCTCTCCTTGGTAGGAAAAGTCCTTACCAAGTAATCCATGGAAGAAAGCCAGATCTGAACATCATGAAGGTGTTCGGGTGTCTGTGCTATATTACAAATCTGAATCCTTCAGATAAATTCCAACCAAGGGCATCTCGGTGTTGCTTCATTGGTTATGCTGAGAATTAAAAAGGGTATAAAGTTCTTGATCTTGAAACTTATACAATATTAGTCTCATGTGATATTGTCTTTCATGAATCAATGTTTCCCTTTCAAGCTATTGAGGAAACAAGTAACTCCCACACTTCTCCTCATAAAGTTGTGCATCCCATTGGTGCCTATGATGATTTTCTTGAAGTTTGTAAAGGCAATCTTCAGGGCACACCTTTGGATGAGATCCAAGATATCTCTCTGGATCAACAACCAGGTGTTACTCTTGATGGCAACACAAATCACCCTCCTGAACCAACTGTTGTGACAGAAAATTGTGATTTAACTTCTGAGGTCTATCCCAATACACGCCAGTCGAGCAGAAAGCGTCATTTACCCTCTTATCTTCATGATTATCAACTTTCCATAGGAAGTGCCACTGTCAAGTATCCTTCAAGTGATGTCTGTCATCTCCCAGATGATTTGTCTAGAGAAAGTCTTTGTTTGCTGGCAAATTTAGATAAAGTTGTCGAACCCCAAAATGTCAAGGAAACGATCCTCAATCCAAAGTGGAAAGAGGCTATGGATCTTGAAATGAAAGCACTTATTGATAATAAAACATGGGTTTTGTCTTAGTTACCCAAGGATAGAAAACTAGTGGGATGTAAGTGGGTATTTAAAGTTAAGTACAATTATGATGGTACGATTGAGAGATACAAAGTTAGGTTGGTTGCAAAAGGGTTCAGTCAAAAAGAGGGACTAAATTCTCGTGAAACCTTTTCTCCGGTAGTCAAGATGCCCACCGTTTGTTGTGTTTTGTCTGTTGCTGTCAGTCGAGGTTGGGAAATATTTCAACTAGATGTTAATAATGGTTTCTTGCATGGGGATCTCTTAGAAACAGTTTACATGACACCCCCAGAGGGGTATCCAGAACTGTTTGAAGATAAACACTGTCTTTTAAAGAAATCTTTGTATGGCTTAAAGCAAGCCCCAAGGCATTGGAATGAAAAATTGAAATCTGCGATGCTTGAATTTGGCTTTAAGCAATCCTTGCATGATTATTCTCTCTTTGTGAAAGAAGAGCACTGTCTAATTGTTATAGCTTTAGTCTACGTTGACGATATTCTAGTGACAGGAAATGATGTTGATAACATTATTGGGTTTAAGAACTTTCTGAACAAAAAATTCAAAATTAAAGATTTGGGTGATCTTAATTACTTCTTGGGTATAAAGGCTATTAGGTGTGGCAAGGGAATCATTTTCTCTCAAAGAAAATATGCTCTTGAGTTAATCTCTGAGTTTGGCCTGTTAGGGTGTAAACCCTCATTGATTCCCATAGAACAACATCTGAAACTTGACAATATAAGATGTGAATCTGATCCTGCATTGTCAAATTCTGTTGTTTACCAACAATTGGTTGGAAAACTGATTTATCTAACCTTAACTAGGCCTGGCATTGCTTTTACAGTGCAAATTTTAAGTCAGTTTATGCACAATCCCAAATAATCTCATATGCGTGCTGCGCTTAAGGTCTTGAAATACTTAAAAAGGTGTCCAAGACAAGGGATTTTGTTTTCCAAAAATACTAACCTGTCTCTTAAAGCATACTGTGATTCGGATTGGGCTTCCTGCCCAATCTCAAGAAAGTCTGTAACCGGCTTCTGTGTGTTTCTTGGAGATTCTTTAATCTTCTTTAAGAGTAACAAACAATCTACTGTGTCGTGGTCTTCAGCTGAGGCTGAGTATAGAGCTATGGCTCAAACATGTGCCGAGATAACGTGGATTCTTGGTATCCTTCGTGATTTACATGTTTCTCATAAAACAGCCGTTGAGTTATTCTGTGATAACACAACTGACTTGCAAATTACCACTAACCCGGTGTTCCATGAGAGAACTAAACACATCGAGGTTGACTGTCACATGGTAAGGGACTATATAACCAAGGGGATCATCTCGACTCACTTTGCTCCTTCCAATGAACAGCGTGCTGATTTGCTCACAAAGAGTCTCGACAGTAAGTCACTTTCTTATCTCTGTATCTTAATAACATGTTTGATCTTTTTCAGGTTGTTAATGACGACCCTACGAGTAAAGGGGGTGTTAACAAGCTACTCCTCTTGGGCAGTACAGGTGATGGGCTTGGCCCAAATTTCTGGATCTCATCCATATATATCTATATCTATATCTTTAATACATACACACACTTTCACTCTCACTTCACATCTTCCTCGTTATGCCCTAGTACAAATCCATATTCACTTCTCTCCCATACACTTTCGCCTCTCACACACAGTGCACTATTCACCATCATCTTCGACTTCATTCATTCACTCGCATCCACACACAGTGCACAGCGAACTACTTCATCTTCATAACTCACTCTTCCATACACTGTTTGTTCACTTGTGCACTTTTACACGCGGTTATTTGAATCCCTTCACTACGCCTCATCTCATTCGCACTAGAATCGATCTTCGTATCGATTTGCTCTTCATTCGTCTTGCTTGACTACTCTCACATTGTTTTTGCTAGTTTTCTATCACTTCGTCTCTCTCCGTAGGTTGTTGGTTCAATTTGGAATGGCTTAAGGCTGTGTGATTCTGGTGAACAAGAATAAAAGGAAAGCACCAAAGAAGCAATCGATACTACTGGATTGCTACATATATTGGTTGTATTGTTAAACCTTCAGTTTGTTCTTCTCTCTTATTCAACTGTTAAGGTTTGTAAGTGTTCCGGTGTGAACACGGTGCTTTCCTCAACTGTTGATTCATGTGTTGATTGTTATGACTTTGATCCTTTGAGATCGTGGCGTACATTTTCTATTGAACGCCTTTTTCTGTTCACCAGACTTTTACTCTATAAATGAGATTTGAGATTTGGAGTATAGGTGTTCCTAACTCCTCATAATAGAAGTGTTTGTTTCTCATTTTTTAGTTTGTTATCAATCTTGCAGAGCATTAATCCACTATTCACCCTTTAAGGCTTTTTTTAACTATTTTTGTCTCAAACATAGACACTACACAATTCATGCTAGATAATTCTTGATTTATTTACCTCGGGTTAGATATCCACTATGAGGGTCACCAATTACATCATTAATAGGATGTTATATCGTATTTCGGATCCTAAACATCTCACTTCTCCATCGGATTTGTTGTCATCACGTTGTTCACTGGTTGCAATGACATCGGAAGAATTATTACTTTTAAACTAGTAAAGATAGATTGAACTCTATGTTATATCTTATTGAACAATCTGATGGTTGAGCATTATGTGTTTAGGAGGGAGGAGTTTTAATCACTGGTTGAGAGGCACTACTATCATTTTCATCAACCTGGTGTATCCATCTTCTTGCAGATTTGCATCATCAGAGATTGTATTAATGGATCCCATGACCTTCTTAGAATGGTTGTTTTTCATTTTGTAAGCTTTGTTATTTTAGGAATAGCCAAAAAGATTCTTTAATCTAATCAAGCATCAAATTTGAGTAGTTGATCTATGGCTTCCAAGATGTAACATCTTCAACAAAATATATGAAAGTAGAACACATTAGGCTTCTTTGTTTTCCATATTTCATATGAACTCTTCATGTGTGGCCTCAAATAAAAAGAGTTGATCACATAGCGGGTTATGTTTACAGCTTTAACCATAAAAAATATGCCACTCCTTTTGCTTGCATCATCGACCTATCAATCACATGCATCTTTGGCTTTTGTTTAGTTGGATATTATTATAATTCGACCCCATCTACAATAACAAATATGACATTCAAGGCCTTTGCATCATTAGCAACAACAACTTTCTCTCTTGTTGTCCATTCAACGTAACCTTCTATGTTATCATCACCATCAGCGTGGCAACTCCAACAGATCTCCAGGAGCTTCACAAAGAACTGTTTTTGAAGACACAAATCAACCATATTCAATTAAGTCCCATGCATTACCATCCTGTGTAATCAAGGAACAACCATTCTTCATTTCCAGTACCTATAATTATTTCCATTGAACAAGAAAACCCTAGTTGTGGAACGACTTTCTCTACTCATTTTGCATTTCAAAAATATCTACTCAGGAGTTTATCACACTACTTCGATACCAGATGTTAGGATAAAGACTATGTTTGATGCACAAGGAAGATGTCAACCCCTCTGAGTGATGTGAAGCGAAGTTATGAACCCGAAAAGTACAAAACACAACCGTTGAAATATGATGAACGTACACAACACTAAAGCTGACAAGAGTGAACTGTCAATCAAAATATCTAATTTTTCATTTTAATCAATTGCAGAATAATAACAAGAAGGTCACATCCACAGGGACTTAAATTTTATTTCTTTAGTTGATTATTTAATTAAAAATAAGGGTTTTCAAGCAAGAATTAATAAAAATGTATCTATCCTAGGGAAATCAATTAAACGAAATAAAATCAAGCAATAAAAAAGGAAATAAAAAAAAAGTTATCAATAAATAAAAGTCTCTACTCAAAGGATTGAAAGAAAAATCACATAATGGATTTGATCATCGAAATAATATAATCAATCAATTGATAAATTCATTATAGGTATTACGATCCAACAACTAATTTTATAATCTTGTTGGTGACAACGGAACGACCAATTGACCTTGCTTTAATTGAAAGAATTAAATTAGGTAGGACCATAGTCAAAATTCTCCCATTCAAAATAGCGAGAAAAAATGCAATTTGAATATTTAATTAATTATGAAAGATTTTTTTAACAACTACAGATGCAATTATTCAATTACCACACAATCAATATATAGACTTAAAATCTTGTCATAATAATAAATTACATCGAATGACTATAGACACGATACACAAAGATCACACAAATATCAATTAATCGAAATATTCAATTAAAACTCAAAACTATTTCACAAATCCATAATCTCAAAATTCAATCCAACTTTAGACTAGAAAAAGAAAGTTTAGCCACTAAACAAAACTAGAAATTGAAAACAATAAGGTTTTACTTGATAGAAGATGATGCATAATTGCGTAGCCGTTTCTTAGTCACTCCAGCCATCCGCACAATTCTTGTTTTTTCTCCAAAATGATTTTTTTATTTTCTTCCAAAATTGGCTTTTAACTGTGCAGCCCTCCAAATTGGCTTTTAATATTTTTTCTATTTTTGTTTCACAATTTTCTCCTCGATGCAAAATTTCAATTTTATCCCTTAGAAGTCTTGACATATCCAAACTTTCTCTAGGCATGAGTGTGCCTAAATGGGAGCAATAATATGCATGTTTGGCAATAATCTTCAATTTCTTCCATTCCTAACACAAGAAAAAAAAAAATCAAATCAAATTCGACTAAAAATCGGTAGGAACTATAAGCAATTATACTCAAAAAGCGCAATTAACGTACAAAAGGTCTGATGAACAATAAGTTCAACAATTTGCTCTCAAGCATGTTAAAAAATGTGCGTAAAAATAAACATATAACATCATGCCAAACACAAAAATCATATCTTAACACTAACTTTGTCAAGTCTGAATTATGCCAAGTTCAACCAACTTCACAAGAAAAAGTATATGCACTCAACACTTAAAGAAAATAAGAGACTAATTTTCACTCAATTTACATAATGGAAAAAGTATATGCACTCAACACTCAAA